CCCCGCCAAAGCCCCAGTAGATAGTTGTATGTCATAGTTGCACATCTTTCTAGTTGCTGTATGTGGGACGTGGTCTCAGCATGGCCTCAGAAGCGGTGCGTTGGTGTGCGCCCAGGATCCGAACCTGGGCCGCCAGCAGTGGAGTGCGCGCACTTAACCGCTAAGCCACAGGGCCGGCCCCAGAATATATTTTTAAAAACTACAATTCAACAACAAAGGCAACCCAATTTTTTAAATGGGCAAATGTTTCAAATAGATATTTCTCTGAAGAGATATACAAATGGCCAATAAGCACATGAAAAGATACTCAGCATTATTAATCATTAGGGAAATGCAAATTAAAACCACAGTGAGATACCACTTCACACGTAGTAGGATGGCTATAATCAAAAAAACAGAAATAAATGTTGGTGAGGATGTGGAAAATTTGGAACCCTAATGCATTGCTAGTGAGAATGTAAAATGGTATAGCCACTGTGAAACACAGTTTGGTGGTTCCTCCAAAAGCTAAATATATAATTACCATATGACTCAGCAATTCCACTCCTAAGTATAAACCCAAAAGAATTGAAAAGAGGGACTCAAACAGATACTTGTATGCCAGTGTTCATAGTAGCATTATTCACAATATGCAACAGGTGGAAACAACCCAAGTGTCCATCAACAGATGAATGGGTAAACAAAATGTGGTGTGTGTGTGTGTGTGTGTGTGTATATAATCAAAAAAACAGAAAATAACAAGTGTTGGTGAATATAATTAATGCCACGGAATTGTACACATAAAATGGTTAAGATCACAAATTTTATGTTGTATATATTTGTCACAAAAAATTTCCAAAAACAAAAAACCCTATAATTATATGCAGTGGTGGGCTGGATCTGGCTTGTGTGCGCTCTCTAGAGCCAGTTGTGAGCATCTTTTTCCAACTACTCATTCAGTGATGCTGGTAGCTTGATTGGCCGTGATGGGAGGATTTACACCATGGAACTTGGCAAATGCTACAAATAAGTCTCCACCTCAATCCCCTCGAGCCACTTGTTAAATATTTACCACACACCACTGAATGTATGTGTATACACATACATTCTGGAAGGATAGATGTCAAACTGTTATTACCTCTGGGGAGGAGAGTAGTGTTGTGGCAGGAATGTGAAAGTAAAAGACTTTTTACCATATACACTTCTATAGTGTTTCAATTTTTTTACAGTGAGCATATAGACATGTATTTCTTGTACTGCTTTTTAAAAAAAGACAGAAAAATCTGCATATGTTGGGATTGTGGTATTGGTGACTTTTCTTGAGAGGCTAAAAGTTGGTCACATAAATACTATCTGGAATAGCCTATGAGGAGGCTGAAAGCCAGCCTGGAACTTGGAATCTGTTTCCTCAAAAATCTGCTTTTTTCCTTGCTAACTAAATGGGGCTTTTTTGTTTCTTCATAGGTTACCCCACAGCCTACCCAGCAGCGGCCCCTGCCTACAATCCCAGCCTGTACCCCACCAATAGCCCCAGTTATGCTCCAGGTAAGGAGAAAGTGGAAATAGCAGTGGTGAGTGGGGTGGGATGTGGGGCTCTATTTGGAAATACAGACCCACCTGCTGGCCTTTCTCTGTCCTTAATTGCTCCAGGCCCAGCCTTTCCAAGCCTGATTCTCCTGGGAGTCCCCTGTGGGAACTGGGGCCGTTCAGCCTCAGAGCTGGGGTGGGAATAGAATCTCCTCCATTCTCCTTGGGACTTAACGGTTGGCCCATCTCTCCTCTGCTGGAATATCTGAGATATGCATCCCCCTCACAGAACCTTTTCTGCTCTCCCAAACAATGTCCAAATCCATTCTTTGCTCAGTTTCCCCTGAGGCTGCCATTGAGACACACACACACAAAACTTCCTGGCATACAGCAGACTTCCTGGATGTGGATTTGGAAGAGAGTGAGAGACTTGCCACCAGAGGATAAAGAGCTGGTTTTCAAGCTGAGACAAGGAACTTGTTTTTCAAAAATAATAAAGGCCCAACACTCCTTGGATAGAGATTGAAATAGATTTGAAAATGTTGAAAAAGTTTGTTCTAGTTTGGGCTAGGAGCAGTGCAGAGATTTTACCACTGATCTTAACCCCTATGCTCAGTTGGTACTTTAACACTCAAGAGGCAGGAGAAAGAGTATGGGCTCTGCAGTTAGAAAGTCCTGGGTTTGAATCCTGATTGCTCAGTTCACTAGTTGTAGGGCCTTGGACAAGTTACCTCACCTCTCTGAGAAATGTAGATGATTTTATGTAAGTTCCTCTTCATTTATCCAACAAGTGTTTATTTGTTGAATGTCCTCTACACTAGAATAGAAAAAAAGAAGGGATGCCGTCTTTGCCTGAAGTAGCTTACAATCCATTTGGGAGCTGGCATATAAACAAATTCATGGCTGTACAGTGTGATGAGTATTGTAAAAGGAATACCTGTAAGAGGATAGGAAGCAGAGGAGGGAAGAACAGTCTGCCTGAGGTTGAAGGTGTAGAGGAGGCTTCACAGAGGGCCTATCAACAGAGTCTTGAGGGAGAAGTAGGAGGTGTTCTTTTAAGCATACAAAGGAAGAGTTGGGCATTGTAGGCAGAGTAGAGCCTGGGCAAAGGCATGGAGATGTGAGGACATGACACTGTGAAGAACCTAGAAGTGAGAATGGTTGAAACATAGACTATTGGGGGGCTGTAGATGAATCTAAACTATAGATGTGCAAGGGCCAGGTTTGGAAAGGCCTTGAATATCATGATAATATCCTCATTTTCTTGTTTAGTAATTATTATTCTAGAGTTAGAAAGCTTGAAAAGACCTTAGAGATACTCCAGTTCAATTCCTTCTCTTGACAAGGGAGATCCAGAGAGAAGCAGTGTTTTGTCCTAGTTACCCAGTGAATCAGCAATAGCATAAGGACTAGAACACTTGACAGATCTCCTGGCTCTTGGTTTAATGCTTTTCTGTGCCAGTCCAGTACTGATCCTACTGTCATTCCCTTTCTTCAGGGATGTCTAAATGAGAGAAGAGCATGGGCTGCGTCAGAAGACCTAGATTTGAGTTCTGCCGCTTCCTAGATTAGCAACCTTAAAGTCACCTGACCTCTCTGAACCTCAATTGCCCCTCTCTAATAGCAATCATATCGTAATTGTAGTATACACACACATATCATGAGCCCCCTCTTTTTTTGGCAAACAAGAACTATTTTATGCAAATAAGTGATGTTAACCCCTAAAGTGCTTACATATGTGAGTCATTCTACAGATGTTTATTTTGTCCCTGCTATGCCTGAGGCACTCTGGAAGACACTGTAGGTGATTCACACTTGAGGATGCTGCAGTCATTGCCCTCAGAAAGCTTGCGAGGGGAGCAGTGACACACAGGCTAAAAAATCTGTAATGGTATCTCAGCATTGATATTTTATTCTATGTTCACTTATAATCAATAAAATACATATTTCCCAAGCAATCTATAATAGGAGGCAGAAACAATAGAAGCTACAGAAATTCTCTCTGATAAAAGACTTAATCAAATTTGATAAGTTCTATCTTAAAAACTTTGGTGATTTTGATTATCAGGTATCTCATGATATAGGAATGATTTAAATCTAAATGCTATAAGATCTGTGAATTGGCTTGGTAAACTATCCAGTCTAAAACAAAATGAGGTGACTATTGCAGAAGGTCAGGTAACATCAGGAGTGAAGAAGATGCCTTGTCTTTATAGTCAGGAGGCCATCAGTGACTTCTGCGGAAGCATTCAGTGGGGAGGTGAGGCTGGGAGTGAAGTAGATTTAGCAGATAGCAGATACTTTTACAAAAGCCCTGGCTATAAGGGAGAGGAGAACAAGAGGGCGTTGACTAGAAGGGAAGGTGGGGTTAGAGGAGGGTTTTTTTCAGATATGAGCATGATTAAATAAGTACTGATGGGAAGGAGCAAGTGGAAAGGACCAGAGATGCAGGAGAAGGAGTGCCAGATGGAGCCAGGCCTCCAAGGAGGCTGCGCTGGGGTGGGAAATACAAAGGTTGGTTCTCTTCTTAGTTTAGGGGAGCAGGTGGAGTGAGGTGCCTCACACAGGAGGGCAGCTCTTCCTCTCAGACTAAAGGAAAGGTGACAGTTGGATGTGCTTAGAATAAAGTGCCCAGTGGAAAGTGGAGAGTTCTTGTCTAATGATCTTGATTTGCTGAAACAGAGGTGAGCAGGGATAGACGAGGGTTCTTAAGGAGAGAGGTCATGGTGTGAAAGCCTCACTAGAAGGAGTGGGAGAGGAAACTACCAACAGGTTACACAGGTGTGTGACAGAGGAGGCCCAACTGAGGGTGGAGGCCGTGAATTTGTCAAGGCCCTAATCCCCAGTACTGGGCTATTTTCTCATAATGTTCAGAACTCCTGCTGACAGATTGTGGAATTGTTTTGGGATGAGTTTGGCAAGAAAGTGGAAGGACAGGGAATAAATAGCTAATATATGTTGAATGGTTCCTATGTGCCAGGGACTGTTTTAAGCTCTTTATGGATATTAACTTGTTTTATATCACAACAAACCGTTGAGGTCAGTACTATTGTTATTCCCATTTCCAAGTGGAAAAACTAAAATTTAGAGAAGTTAGGAAACTAGCCCATGGATCCAAACCCAGGCATCCTGCTGCCACACCTGCACGCGCTCTTTACCATTACATTATAGTTGCAGTTGGCCAGAGAGAAATTGAGGTGTTAGACAAAGCAACCAGACTAGAGAGCCAAGGGGGAGCAGAAAGGAGGAGTCTGAGACTAGGAAAAAAAAAAAAAATGGAGAGATTGGAAAGCTCCTGGCATGCATAAAGTACTGATTAAGTTTTAATTTTAAAACAAAATATCAGCATTCATCTAACTTGATTTTTCTCAATTTTATGTTTTGAAAAGTCAACATATTTTTAAGCTATGACTAAACCAACCCAGACCATTTTCTCAGAAACTCACTCAATCCACTGGAGAGGGTAGTGTTAGCGCATTGTGTCAGAAAGCCCCAAACTGGGAGTTGGAATACGGGTTATAGCTCTAACTCTGCTACTGATTTTGAGGTGCCCTAGGGCAGATCCCTTTCCCTTTGGAGTTACACACCTACTACATCACTGGTCTGTTTCATGTGTTGGGAGGCTGGCCTCTGCATTTACCAGGTCTCCTGCCTGCAGTGGGGGAGCTGGCTCAAGGCCAGAGAGGACGGTGTAGGTTACTCAGCTTCCTGCCAGAGCCAGCCATTTGTGATGCTGAGAGATGCCTGCGGGGTAGAAGCCTGCAAAGGAGTCAGGCTCTCAGGTTTACATTTCTCTCCTCTTCTCCGAGGAGACCAAGAAGTTGCTTCAGGGGGAACTATTTTTAGCAGCTCTGAGTACCCTAAGATGTCACCTGTCCAGGATGCAGAGAAACACTTCACTCATTGGTTCTGAAAGCAATGTAGGTATCTGGAACTTTTTTCCAAGCTTTTAATGACTTCAAGGATCTTATTTAAGAACTGTTTGGCCCCGCAAGAGGCAGGAGCCAACTGAGACTTGTTTTCAGAATCTGGAGACCAAAGGATGTGTTATATTAATGGTAATCTGACTTGAAAATGAAGGAAAGGATAAATAGGATAACTAATATAGATAAAAATGAAATACCTCCTTGCAAGAAATCTGTTTATATGGGGCCGGCCCGGTGGCGCAGTGGTTAAGTGTGCATGCTCCACTGTGGCGGCGCAGGGTTCGCAGGTTCGGATCCCAGGCATGGACCGATGCACCGCTTGTCAAGCCATGCTGTGGTGGCGTCCCATATAAAGTAGAGGAAGATGGACACGGATGTTAGCCCAGGGCCAGTCTTCCTCAGCAAAAAGAGGAGGATTGGCGACAGATGTTAGCTCAGGGCTAATCTTCCTCACAAAAAAAAAAGAAAGAAAGAAATCTGTTTACAAACATTTTCATCTATTGTCTCACTTGATTTAATAGCAGCCTTGTAAAGTACAAATATATTATTCCCATTTTGCATATGACGAACCTGCAGAAGAGCAGGGGAAAGGAATTTGTGTTTTCTGAGCATCTTCCATGTTCTAGACACTGCAAGGCATGTCACAAATGTGAATTTTTACCTTGGTCTTGTGGGTTAGAGCTTCTTGCCTCCAGTTTTGCTCAGAGAGGTTAAATAACTTGTCCAAAGTTGCATAGCTAGAAAGCAGTGAAGCTGGGATTCAAACCCAATCTGTCTGACCCCACAGCCTGTGCTCCTTCTACAGCGCCACGCTCTCCCAGCCTTCAGGGAATGAAGTTCCTCTGCATTGGTCCTAGCCCTCTGGGCTTTACAGAGAGCTGTTCAGAGGCCAAAGATGATGATTTTGTCCCTGAATCTTCACATCCTCTAGCACATAAAGTCTCTGTCTTGGGGCCGGCCCGGTGGCATAGCGGTTAAGTTCGTGCATTCCACTTCGGTGGCCCAGGGTGTGCCGGTTTGGATCCTGGGTGTGGACCTACTCACCACTCATCAAGCCATGCTGAGGTGGTGTCCCACATAGAAGAGCTACAA